AGGAGAGGTAAGGAATTCAGAGGTGTATGACGGTTCTGAAAATATCTGTTTCAGTATGAGCTTAATCCAAAATGAGATTGATTTTGCCATCCCTAAGGAAAAAAAAAAAAGACATGGACTAGACACCAATGGAAAAACTGGTGAAGGGCCATAATGGTCAGGATTATTCAACTCAGAACTAGTAGTTATTCCTCGAAGAAAAACTGTGTTTCTTTGAAACAGTTCAGATGTACCCAGAGCAGCAGAGGAATAGCTAACATGTTAGTTGACTGGAAAACTGAATTTGCAGAATATTTTTGAAAATAAATTCTCATCTTTGGCCTAGACAAGAAGACACAAGTTCCAGTTTGTTCAGAGGAGCTACACTATTAATAAATAAATACAACTATTTCAAGGGTAAACCAAAAATATTACTACTATTTTCTAATTATCTTCATTCCCTGACTTTCACCATTGAAACAGGGAGAGCTAGACATTCAAGAAGCCATGAAACTGCAAGAATTTGCAGTACCAGGTTCCCTACTTGGAAGGCACCTGAGAGGTTAAGACAGCAAGCTAAGAAAAACCAAGCAGGTTGCATAATATCTCCATAAAATCAGCAAGATCTGATGCAAATTTTTCTTCTTTGTTCGTTTGTATCTCACAGTGGGGATCTCTTGCACCTTAAACCATCCATGGAATAGGCAGAAATGGAGTATTTCCTCATGTGGCTTATGAAGCAACCAATCAAGCTATCATCTGCTTTTCTTCGTCACTTCTAGGAGGGGCTAAAGCACGTAAAAAATTCAAATTAGAACAAGGCATTCAGATTTGTTGAAATAATCTCTTTATACAATTTTGGGGGCTTCACAGGATGAAGGACATTGACAAAGAACAAAACTATTCAGAGCAGAGGAACAAATATGCTACGCAGGGCTACATGCAATCACTGGAATCCACCTAGCAAACCATCATTCCTCCAGAGGTCAAGTAGATCAGGGGAATGGAGAGGAGAAGATGGGAAAGCGTTTTGTGCTACCCTCTTTCTTTTGTATTTGCAAGAGGCTAGGACTAGGAAAACACAAGGGGTCTGTTTAAGTGCTATGAGAAGCACATCTTGCTAGAAGAAAGGTAAATTGTGATGTTATCTCAGTCCCTACAATCACCTGGCTAATCCTTGATCACTGCACATATATCTACAAAACTGGGCTTACAGACTTGGAAGATATGGCATTCAAGCTTGAGAAAGCAAAGCTCCCCACCCCCTGATAAAAAAGAAAAAGCAGAAAGAGTGAAGAAAAATTCTCTTAGATTGAGGTTTCTCCTTTATAAATTCAGAGTAAGGTCCCTCTTCGTGTTTAGAAGATAAGCAGGGCTGGGAAAACTCTGAAGTATGGAGTTACAAAGTGAGACATTCATAGATACTGCAGCTTGTAGTGTACCACAGGTGGCTTTTTAGTCTTTAAATCCCAGACAGACATCCTTTATTGTTTGGAAACAGGACTTCTCCTGCATAGCTAAGATAATACCATCATATGTTCCTAGCTCATGTTGTACTTTGTTTCTGTGCTGGTGACTGAGATTCACGGACATTCATGGACTGTCCATGACATTCGTGGACAGTCTGCAGGGTTTGGGTATTCCAAAGAGACTGCAGAGGTAGAAGTTGCCACTTTGGATCTTCATCCTGGCTAATTCAGTGTCAGTCCATGGGCAATAATGCTTGCTTCAGAGAAGATCCACAGACAAGATAGGATTGGGCAAGGTAGGTGTATGTTTTACCTGGAGTACTCATCCTGATTTCCAAATATGAGATTTGTTCACGACCTGAAAACAATTTTTATCTCCTTTCCAGTTTTAGAGTCTTAGCTAGACTCATAAACATTCAGTCCTTCTTTGAGCCTTTTTAAATTCTCCACTTCATGACAGGGAAGTTGTTTTCAACCAATCCTGATTTTGATTGCTTTTCACAATCCTAGCTGAGCCTTTTAGTCAGCTAATGTATCAGGTGCAGGACCCTTCATGGGCTAATAATGTGATCTACTCTGTGAATTCTAATATCATTAAAGCTATCAATAAAAGAGGGTTGGGAAAGAAAAGCCCCATCCTGAAAATGTACCTCAAAAATGAAAAGAAGCTTTCTTCACACAGTTATAGACTTAAAATTGTCATCCACAAATTCATATAATTAATTAGAAGATGAAAATCTCATGCACATGCTCTGGAGAACACAACAGTTCCTGCACTAACTCTTCCTTTTTGACAAAAATAAAAAAGTCCTTCTTGGACATAAATAATCCCACCCTGGTTGAGGAATTAATAAAAAAAAATTAGAATAAAATAAAAAAATAAGTAAAACCAACTTTATTAAAGTTAACCAGAATGTGACACATCCAGGAATGAATAATGCCCAAGGAGACCTCAGGGTCAGAGTGGGCAGTGAATCAGACATTGACAATGCAATATGGCAGGGAACAAGAAAGCCTGCAAATGTGGTGTGTCATAACAGAGAGATAGACTGTATTCAGAAAGCTCCTGTGGGAATACTCTGCAAATACTCACTGAGCTTCTGACTTGTCATTGCTGGAAAAAAAAATAATGAGAGAACTAGGAGAAGTTCAAAGAAGAACAATCAAAATGATCTGCAGGCTGGAAAAACTGTGCCATGGAAAGACTAAAATGGCCAGATAATGGCAGTGGTACCTAATTGGCTTTTCCAGGTGATTTACTTAAGTAGAGTTCACAAACATATATAAAGCAGAATCCAGCCTCTTTACACTGCTTTGGCTTTTGCAGGTATCATACAGAGTTCCTTAAAAGCCTGATGTTGCGCTGAAGAAGGACTCTACCAACACAGTGACAGTGCAGAATAGCTTGAAGGCTTCCTTAAGGAGCCTGTTGTCCACGAAAATCTGATTTGTTATCCAGTGTGCAACAAGGCAGTAATTACACACTCGAGATATTATTTATTTCACAATTGCACAAGCCTGGCTGCTCAGTGGTATTCCACAAATCAAGCACACCAACTATCAAAACTTTCACACATTTCAGCAAAGGAATTAGTGCTCATTGGCTACTAGTTACATTGTTCTCCTATTAATTAATATTCCATCTTCAATTGATTAATGATTCTCTCACTTCTCATGCTAATTAATCCCATACTTGATCTTTCTCTTAAGTTAATGGGTTTCTTGGGTCAGTGGTCCATGTCTTGGTAGTTGCAATCTCCCCATGCTGGACTTACCTTTTACCCAGTTGGAGCTGATTTGAAGCACAATTACGGAGTTGGTTTTAATAGTTTCTTCCTTGTCTTGGGAGTTCTGCTAGAAGTCCTTGTGGTCCACAAGTTCTGCACTCTTTGTGTCCACTATCAGTGGCACATTCTTCTTCCCAAGTTTTGTTACCTTCCTCCTAGGTCTGAGATCACTGAGGCATGTCAAGTCCTAAACTTTAACAATACAATTCTACCAATAAGTAATTTGTTTCTCTAACACCTGGACATCACTTAGAGCTTACATATTATCTGTTTCATGGATTAAATCTCCCTTCTTGTCGATTAGGCTTGAAAGTATGCAAAGATCAAATATTAAGACTAATCTTTCTTAAGAAAATTTTACATATTCCACATATTGCAACAAGACCAGTTTCAGGGATAACAGCTATGCTGTGGACATGGTGCTGCAGCACTGTAGAAATTACATCACAAGCAGCAAGATTGCTACCTGAATTCCTGGTGCTCAGGATATTTAAATTATACTAAAAGCCTTGAAATGGTCCAGAAACAGGACACAAAGGTGGCTTAGAGCCAGCACAGACCCATCCTTAAGACATACAACAAGCAGAAATTGTGAAAGGTGTATAGGAGGAAGAGAAGAAAAAGGAAAGGAAAAAGAAAGAAAGAAAAACAAGATGACTTTAGGCTGACTAGCAGGGGAAAAAAAATCATAAAGGTCAAATCTAAGACTGTGGAGATGTGAGAGGCAAATGGCAGAAAGCTTCACTTCTAGCAACATTTGCCATGAATCTTAAGGGGACACTGTGCAGCTGAATTGGAATAGACTCATGTCAGGTAAATAATAAACTGGCAGGTAATTTCCATCTTGTCATTTAATATTTAGATTAAAAAAACCTAAAGCCCCATTTCAGGTTAGATGTAGGGGAGCCGTGGGGAGGAGGGAGTTTGTATGTGTGCAGAGGGGTTCCATAAGTCCCACAACAAACGCTGAGATTTCAGTTCGTTCTGCATTAAGATTAGTCATAACCTCGTGAGCGGGGAGACCTCTGGGAAGACAGGGACCAAGCAAAGGCAGGCATCTGGAAAATCCTCCTCCGCTGATTCCCATTCACATAGAAACCGCCACATGTGATAACCCCCACGAAGTATCATCTCCATTAATAATTCACTGAAATTTCTTGATTCATCAAGTCCAGAAGTTCCTGGGAAGTGTGGGAAAAGACCAGCGGGGCATCTCAGGTGCCGAGAGAAGGACTTGAGACCGGCTCTGAGGATGCGAAGCCGCACAACGCAAACACACGGTTCACAACACAGGAGCATGCCTCCTCTTTATTCCCCCTCCTCCGGTTTTATTCTGCTTTAGCTATCACTGCCAAACGATTGGGAAGAAGCTGGCTGTCCTCCACCTCAAGCATGGAACGGCACTGGAGGGGGAAAGGGGGGCTCCCTAACACAGCCCTCCCCCTCTGCCCTCCCACCGCATTCAGTTGCAAATCTCTTCCCGCCCAGAGGATCCGGCTCCGCGCCCGCTGCGCGCCTGGTCCGCGCCCGCACGGCCCCAGTGCGGCAGCTCCGGCGGCCCCGGCAGCCGCAGCGCCGGCGCCAGGGGTGCGGGTGCGTGTGTGTGCGGTGTGTGTGTGTGCGCCTGCCAGGGAAGCGAGCGAGGAGGGAGGAGTTTGGCTTTTCTCCCCCCCCCCCCCCCCCCCCCCCCCCCCCCCCCCCCTCTGTTTTTTGTTCTTGTTTTTTTTTTTTATTAATCAGGAGCAGTGAATGGAAACCAATCAGATAGAGAGCCCCATCGGCTCGGGCTGCCTGCATGCCGGAGTTAAAAAGTGCTGCTGGCCGAGCGGGAGACTTAGTGCGAGGCAGGGAAGCTGAGCGGTGGGAGAAGGGGCTGGGGAGCCGTACCGCCGACCCGGGTGAGGCTCGGCCACGCCGCCCCTGCGTGCCGGTAAGTAGATGCTCTGCACCGCTGTAGGGGCAAGTTCCAGCTGCCACCAGCCAGTTGCCTTCTTTTCTTTTTTTTTTTTTTTCCTTTTTTTTTCTTTTTTTTTTTTTTTTTTTGTTGTGGTTATTGGGAATGGTGTTTGGGGGGGGGGGGGGGGGGGATGACAACACTTATTTTGCAAAGTTGGCAGCTGTCTTGCGGAGGGCTCTGCCCCCCACTGCCGCGCTGGGGTGACCCCCCCACCCCACCCCCCCCCGGGGCTCCACTGTGTGCCCGGCGCTCAGGGGCGTGTGGGGAACCACATTTGCTGGCCTTGTAAGTCGGGCGAAGGGATGCGGCGTTTTCCTGGGGATTGTTATCGCCAGCAAGACATTTCGGGCGAGGAGCGGTGGTGAGAGCGGGAGAAGGGTCGCGTGTGCTTGGAAGAGAACAATTGTAATGATTAGTAATAACAACAACAGAACAATGAATAACTAGAAAATAATAATAATTTTAAAAGTCTGTCTCGATTTCTTGACACTGCTTACTTGCTATGACATGAATACAGGGCAAAAGCCTTCGGATCATGAGCAGAATCCGAGGCAAAGTGCAGAACTGAATGTAGAGCACAGTTGAAATGAGGCGCTCCCTCAGCACAAGGAAGGGGGCAGAGCGGGCAGATCTGAGGACGTTACAGGAATTGACAAATGTGAAGTCTTTGATAAAGGAAGGGGTTGGGAAGTGGTGGAGGTGGTGGGAAGTAAGAAGGTAGGCGTACAAGCATTTTTACAGAAGAGAAGTTCTATAATTGCAGAAAGAAAGCACTGAATTTGGTTATGTAGTAAATGTTTCTAAGGAGCTGGTAACATATTTTGTATGTCAGCTAGATTAAACTATTTTAATATTCATATGTATGTACCACCTACTTATATGCACACATAGGGAAACCAGTATGCATACTACATGTGTGCATTCTCATGCAAAAGGTTGAGTCAAGAGATAAGCAATAGCAGTAGAGGTCAGTGGCAGTGGAAAGGAGTCTTGTCACTGCTGCAATAAAATCCATATTTTACGGAGAGTTAAATGCAGTACTTTTTAAGTGCAAGTGGATGGTCGCCTAAGTAACTCCTGATGACATTCGAGGACCAAGAAGTTTAATGACCAGAATTACTCCCAGCATGTTGGCACAACTACTACTTTTATATGAGTCGAGATGATGGGGCACCTTTTTCGTTGTATTAGTGGGTGATGTGGGATTTTAAAGTTCTGTTGGTACTGCATGAGAGATTGTGCAGCACAGATTACTTACAGAGTGTAAGGTCAGTCCTTTCTTCAAATGTACTGTTCTTCTATCACAGCTGAAATAAAGAGTGCAGTTCTTGTCTATTCAGGAATCTGTGAGGATGGAATGTACATCCTACATGTGTAGTTCATGAGTTATGTGCATGAACATTTGCACAAGGAGAACATTACAATAAAGAGCAAGGTTATTTCCATTCCCTTTTGTCACAGGACCATATGTAATAGCAGCCTGGAAATGACATACTTCCAAGGGAATAAAATTGCTTGAATGTGCAACCCCTTTGGTTTTAATCAAAATAGACATAACTCTCCCAGTCAAGATAAAGGCTTATCTCCTGTATTTGCTTGGCTGAAATCTCTATTATGCAGACAATTCTGTGCAAAAGTGCTTGCATGTTACTTAAAACATTCCATAAAATTGATTAACATCTGTTCCTGAGCAATATAATGCTATGGGTAATGGTGCATCGCTATTTCTTTTTTTCTGATTCCTGTTTAAAGGCAATAAGTTTGCATGTCACAGGAGAGTCAGGTAGGGCTTGGAGCCTTGTGATCAAGATTAAGTAGATTCCTTTATCATGGATATATACAGTTTTAAAGACCTGGCAACAATGACAAAATTAGATAGCTCCTTTAAACAGCCCAAATATGCCAATAAAGACTGTAAGGCTGAATCCCTTTTACCTCTCCTCTCAGATATTATCTGACACAGTAAATATATAATTTCATATGCTTCTGGCTTTCAGCTGCACCATAATCTTCTGGAAATATTTCTAGTGGATTGCAGTTGACTTTTGAGCTGGGGGAGAGAAGAGGAAAGTAGCCAGTCTTTTCAAAATAACATAATCGGAGGCAGCAATACTTTTTTTAAATTTATTTTCCAGGGAAAATGGCATTGATTCAGTCCTGTTGCAGTTCTCTGCAATTATCCCTTGCAGGCATTTAAGGAACTGGCATCCCCGTAGGGACTTATTAGTCCCTCTAGGTATTTTAGCTTTCACACCAGTTCACAGCTCTTTCATATCTCCATGCCAGCACATGAAAGATTACGTTTATAGACATGGTCATCATTTTCTAACCAAGTCCTTCAGCTAGAAATACACATTTCAATTTCTGATTCTTCTCTTTCTCCCTCTCCTTACCTTGCATAGCTCTTCCATGCAAACGGTAACCTGCCGCTCAAGGCAGCCTTCCCTTTCATAAAGTTTGCATTTTGCCATCTGCTGTTTCAATAATATTTAGTTGAGAGACTTCCTTCAAAGCCAAACATGCACACATTCAAAAATGAGGATTTTTTTTTTTTCCCCATGCTTTCTACTGAAGATCTTGAAACTAATGCGAACTGGATAGAAGTTACAAATGTGCCTGTGCTGTCACCAGCTGAGATCCTCCTCTCAGTGAGCAGCCTTCTACTGAAGGGCACACTTGGTTCCTCTGGGCAGGATCCTCCCTGCAGACCATTATCCTCTCAGGTCTGCTACATCATTTTTTCTTTGGCTGAAGAAGTTCTCAGCACACTGATGTGCTGTTTATTAATAGAATTGTGCAGTATTTTGGGGTTTGGCGGGAACCACTTTTGGATTTTGCAGTGGATGCCTGTGCTCTGTGTAGTGGTCAAGCAAATCTAGAGAGCATCGACATTTATCTGTTTTTACATGAAATGGTCTTCTCTGTCTCTTGCTTAACTGAACTTTTTAGTGTGTCGTCTGCCGTTTGTTGACTACTTTTAAATTATGTTCTCTTTCTAGTGCAATCTTGCAGCATTATGGCTCAAGATGTGCAGGAAATTGCTTATGGATCTCCTTGGAAATTGTGGCTAATTCCTAAAATGAAAGGTAGCTGAAATCTATAAAAACTGGTTAGAATCCATTGGAAGCAGCAGGCCCCACTGTGGTGGTGCCTCATGTTACATAATGGTTGCAACTCCTCTAGTGGCTCTGCTGCAGTTATACCAGAATGAAGTAGAATTGGTTTTCAGTATCTTTTGATTATCATAAGTCTGTGGGAAGGCTTTACCTTGGAAGCTGGGTGTTAGGGAGAGTTCTTCATTAACTCCTTGAAGACCTAGTTAGCTGCAATACCCAATACCTGTTCTGATTTCTTCAAAGTATTTGCATCATTTGGGGTTTACTTCTTTTTCCTTTTTTTTAAAAAAATAAATAATTAATTGGGTTCACTACTCTTAAAACAGGGCTGACAAACTTAGTTGTGAGTATCCTGACTGCCATGGTGGGGCCAAATTCAGGACATTCTCAGCATAAAGGGGCTTTAAAGTGAGTCCCACATCCTGCACATGAAGTGAAGGGTTCTGTGGCACACTCTGCAGTATTCAGCTTGCAGGAAAAGCAGCGTTCTTAAGTTTAAATTTGTTCTAGTTGAGATAAAAATCCAGTAGCAGCTAGTTTGCCTATGATGCTTGCTTAGTCATGGCAGTCCTTTCCAAGGGGTCTGGGAAAACTGTGCTTTGTGAGGGGAGAGGTATATCCCGTTTCCTTTGGGATGGGGAGAGAGGAGATGTAGAGGGAATGTTTAGTATGATGAAACCCAGCTGTTGTCTGTCTTTATTGCTTAACAAAAGGTACAGGGCAAACTATTACTCCCTGTCTGAATTTTAAAAACACCCTTGAAGAATGTATAATTAATGCAAAACATCGGCAGAAAAAGTCATCATCGTCTGTGGATTATGCTGTGAGTGATATAGCAGTGAAACTAGGTGGGGAGAGTGCTGGATAAAAGCATTTTTAAGCTTGGAGTGCTTCACATCCGGTTGGGCTTTCTATGCTGTAAATCTCAGCCTAAGAGTCTTTGTTCTTCCCCAATGACTGGATGATATCTGTTGGGAGTCCATCCAGGCTCAGGTTCCTAAGCATCTCCAGGGCCTTGCTGTGTGTCCTAATCCTCACCACCTATCAGCAGCTTCCTCTCCCCCTTGCAGGCAGGGTTATCCCTCCTTGTACCCATGACCATCTCCTGTACTTTCTCCAGGTGTGGCTGGTTGCCACCATTGCCTTCCACTTTTTTTATTTTTATTTGTGCACTTGGCACTGTAAAGCCCAAACAGAGATTGTACATATTTGGTTTTATGCTTTTGTTTGTTTATTAACAAGAGCATTCCCGAAGAAACTAGGATAACTATAATTCAGGACTGTTTTATAGAGTGGTGTGAATTAATATTATTGGTTGGTACGTTTAGTCTTGTGCAGCTGCCCACTCCTCGAGTATTTTTCTCTTTCAAAACAAACCAGAAAAGACCCCTTTAGCAGCAGTGAGGAGAAATGTTGATGGAGAGGAGGAGCTCCTTCTGCTGAGGGGAGTCTGTTAGCCCTGTCAGGATGGAAGGGGCTCATCTAGCCTGGTGTTCCTCATGAGTTACGGTGTTGGACCTCCAAAAAGAAGCTTTAGGCAAAGAAGTGATAGTTTAACTGTGGTGGTGCCAGAGCACTTAGGAGGACCATGCTGAAACATCCAAGATTACAGTGATACTGCATTATCTTTCTTCACACTCAGCCATAAGACACCTTCTCCATACTCTCCTCTTTGCCAGGCACATAGACAAAAGTGCATATACATTTCCATCTGGTCTCATTCAAGAACGGTGCCAGCCTTCCTATACGTTAAGTAGCCTGTTCAATAATAGCTTTATTTTGGCATTGTGGGCAAATATTTTATGGATTAATTAGCCTGTCTTGTCACGATATGCGTATATATTTATATATAGTCAG